TTAATAAATTAATTAACAAAATTATCTCATAGAAATAATTACAGGTTAAATTTTAAATCTTTATGAAAGTTGTGTAACATATGTAATTTAACAACTACATATAAAAATTGGTCTAGATTTTTAATCATCAGGACATCAAAGAAATGATCTAAATGTAACTATTGAACCTAGATATCACGAAAAAACTATAAACAGAATTGCAAATAGAATTTCAAAGACTAGAAAAGAGAGAAAAATAAAGTATCACAGAGTTTTCTGGGAATTTCCTAAAGTTATTATTGCGAAAAGACCAACAAGAATAATTGATCTTTGCAGAACATATTTTTAAGATAATACTCCAACACCCAAAATATTCTCAGATTAGTTGGCTCATAAATAACAAATCATTGCTGTACAAAATATTTATGTAACTATTTGTCTCATTTTTACACTGAGAAAAATTTAACAGACCATGCTTCCTAAAATTGATACATGTCAACGTGTGATGAAACTTCTTACACAAAAACTTATTAAAATTATGTAACTGTTAGCTTTTGTTATAATGTTAAATATAGTAATACTAGTAAAAGCAATCTAGTAACATATTCCGGTAAATATGGCAGCAAAAAATTTTTAAGAAAATAACACAAAAGCCATTTATATTGCAGATAATTATTTATATGTAAAAAAACCTATAGTAATAACCAAAGAACAAGAATCTGAATTTGGACTATTGACAATCTAAAATGATTGAATTTGCTATGACATATTGGTATCTTATAATAAAACGAGAATCAATACTTGGGAATAAGCATTAAAAAGATTTAGATTTAGATTTAGAAGGTATAAAAAAAAATTTAAGTTTTATAAAAACTGGATTGCGAAATTTTATAAAGAAATAAATATGTTCCTTGAAGGTCTCGAAGGTAATATGGAAAAAGTTAGAGATCACGATATCACTTAAGAGGAAAATATCAAGGAGCTGTTCATTTTATATGCAATTTGAATTATAAAGTTCCTAGATTTATTCCAGTATTTTTTCACAATCTATCTGGTTATGACCCACATTTATTCATAAAAGAATATGGAAATGTGCAGATAATATAAAAACAACTACAAATTGTGAATAAAATTATAAATCATTTTCAAAAATTATATGATATGAGAAAATAGATCAGAATTATACCAGTTTAAAGAACTATCTAAACATTATCCTGAATAATTGGAATTAGTAAAAGGAAAATTAGCATTTTCTTATGAATATATGGATTCTCCAGAAAAATATGATAAATACCTTTTATAGATAAATTTTACAGCTCTCGTTCAGTTGAACATTTAACACAAAATGCAAATGAAAATGCTAAAAAAAATATGGTAATAATTCGAAATTAAAAAAATGACAGATTTTACCACAATTTGTGGATACAATAAATGTATAGAGCTCTGTTTCAATATTACAATTATTAATTAATAATTTATTACTTAATTAATTACTTAATTTAATAATGTTAATTTATAGTCAAAAAACAATATGGAAAATTGTCCTGTTTTTTCTATGAGTTTTTCCAATTATTAAGAAAATTACAATAAAAATCGAAAATCAACCACCTCGATGAACCGGCAAAGCAAAGTTTGATTTTAGAAGAGATGCCGACCGTGATGATTGGGGCAGGATGTAGAAAACTTGTTAACAGACCCGCGTGGTCAAATCATCGATGACCAATGCTTCGCTCTGAATCTAAAATTACCGGGAAAACAATACATAGTATAACTTGTTTATATTTCTTTCTACACTTCTTTCAAAGTGTAAAACAGTATAAATTTCTACTTACTTTGATGGAAAAGAAAAACACTCCGGGTATGCGACGGCCGGATATGAAGGTAAGGTACATTATTACTATAGAAGTGATTACGGTCAAGGATAACAGGCTGTCGCATGCAATGTATTTCATCCGTTTTTTCAGGAGCCGTAAATTTTATATATTGTAAAAAAAAACAATAATATAATTATTGTGTATTAGGATTACGAAATTTCGTTAAACGTCCTTGAAACCGTTCGAGGTCTGACTATAATAATATTACTATTAAGCATTTCCATATAGACAATTTTACTCCATTCAAAGGTTTTCGGTGCGATGTCTCAGGTGTATTTTGTTCTATTTGGGGTCACTCGGGGAAACACTATTTCCCTATTTTCTTCTCTCTTTTCATAAAAGCATCAAGTTTTTTATTCAAAATAGTCATTATTTATTATTTGCGGCAATTTAAAATTGTTTTTAGATATCCGTTATAAAAATATAATATTAATAATAATATAATATTTACGATTCGAAAATAATATACTTCATAAATTTTCTCGTTGTTCTTATGTTTTTCCCGGTTTTTTACCATTAATTGATCAACCCAGACAAAATTATTTTCGGAAATAATGCTACACTTCAAAATTGGAGTAACATTTCTGGTAGAAATGTAAATTTATTCACAGGAAAAAAAAATATCATTGTAAAACCATAACATTCCTTACTTGAAAATACCGACGAAAAAATTGTAGAAATCGCATTCGTTGGGTTTAAATTTTGAAAACGTATTATGACTAGGTTTATAAGGATACAATGGAATTATTATTTTTAATACTTTTAATATTAGTTATATAGGATATCACAAGTAAAAAGCAAAATACTTAGGGTAAAATCTGTAAAAATACAATCAAATTTTGTTACCTTTGCTGTTAAAAGCAATTAAATTTATAATATTTATTTCTAATGTATCACAATAAAAAACCTATATTATCAAAATCCGTTTTCGAAATTTAGATCCACCGTATTAATTCATACAGTTAATTCCGGCTTTTAAAATATATGAATAAATTTCGAATGATTATTTAGTTGAAAAAGTAGCAAAAGACAAAAAGTTTATTAAAAAATTAGACGATCTGATAAAACTTTTTTCTACACTCAATGCGAACCATGAAAATAATCGGACTATCGCATACTATTTAAATAAAAGATTAAACAGTGTTTCCAATCTAGAATCTATATTCAGTAATATCGAAGCATTTTTACCTGCTAAAGCGTTCGTGCCAATGAAATCAGCATCAAATATGGAACCCACAAAACTAGTACAGAGAAAGAGAAAACTTTTGCGGAAATACGACAACAAATTTTTGTGTTACCTGCATCAGTCTTGTTTTTAAAACCCTCCTATCCAATATCATATCATCTATACTTGCACGAATTCCATATAATAGAATAAGATGTAGGTAAGGATAGGCCAAACCAAGTTTTTAACAAGGACACG